CATCAACATGCCGCATTTCCGATCCGATAAAGAAATCGTAGCTGCGATGGAGCTCCATTCTTTGGTATGATGCTCCAAGGCAACAAAGGCCGTAATGAATGAAATAGTTGCGAGGCCGAGACCGCTCAAGCTAGTGGGTAGAGATGATGAATTTTTTTTATTCTTCTTTCACAATAGCAAAATAGTCGAGTAATATTTTGGAAAATTTTCAGACCATATATTATTCGTTTGCTTTGTCCATGTAAATAGTCCCATATGTCGCAATATGTTTGCATTAACAATTGACTAACGCCACAAAAACGAAAAACCGAAAATTTCCATAACAATGCCATAAAATGCAAACAGAGTTATTCAATACCGTACAGATTAAATATCCCTTTAGCCAATAGCGTTTAATACCAATAATCCGCCAGTTTTAATTTATGCAAATCCTTACACTCTCTGTATCGTCGAAACTATGCCTTTAGCCTCTAACATTTAATGCCAACGCAACGCCAGTTTCAGTTTATGCAAATCATCACATTCTCCGAATAGTCCAAAACCGAATTCATCAACTGCCGGCTCAAAGATCGGAAAGTGATAATGGAAGAGTGAGGAATATAAAAAATAATGTGAAACGCATGAATTAAAAACTGTTTGAAACATTGGTCGTTCAATTCCAACCAATCTAAAATAAAAAGCTTCCATTCGAGCTTTTTTGCCATTTCAAATATTCTGTACTTTACTTCGCCTTGTTCTTCACTACATCAATGGCATACGTCTTTTGGTTCAATTTTCTGCTATGCATCGCTTCAGTTCAGAACACTCCAGGTAAGAAATGTTCATTCTATGTCCAACGGAAGATCCTCAGTTAGGCCATACTTCGGTAAACACATCAAACGATCAAAAAGTTTATCAAGTTAACAAAATCATTCGGGCAAAGAGTATTTCTTAGAAAACTTCAATGTCCGTGGGAAAGCAGATTTAACACTAGTTGCCTCAGATACATGTACATATAACAGTAGATAGGGAAAACTAATGGATAATTACCGGAAATATAGTAGTAAAGCATTATATAATGGCATATCGTTTTAATCCTTTCAGTTTATGTTTTTACCCAATTGGATAAAGTTGAAAATATAAACTAAAAGAATCCCAAATCCGAAGCGATCTCCTTAGCAGCGAAAAAATTCAGAATTATCCCTTATCCTACATTCTTCCATTAGAAGCAACATGAGAATGAGCCCTTTGCTTTAGTAATAGATGCTTTAATAATAGATAATAATAGATATTTGCTTTAATAATAGATATGTGGAATTCATAATTTGATGCTCACTGTAATATTTCACTGACTACAGTAGATAGCTGCTTGTTATATGCCGCAGTTGGTATTTGGCAGTTACTGATGAACAGAGTGACACAATTCAAGCAATTAGCGTCTTTACAGTCTGATGAATTTAAATGATGTTGACAATGGTGACAATAATGTTATCACTGATACATCGAAAAAACAAGGTTAAAGTTCATTAGGGTAACAAAATCACTCGGCAATGGGTATTTCTCGGAAAACTTGAGCATCCACAACAACCTGGATATGGGTACATATAACAGTGGATGGGGAAATACTAATGGACAGTTATCGGGAACAAACAGTAAAGAATTATGTGACGAAATACAGTTTTGATTCCTTCAGTTCATCCTTTACTCTATTGGATGAGATTGAAAATACAAGTGGCGATTAGTTTAAGATCGATACTGTTCTCGTCCTCACCAAAAAATTCACAGCTATCCGTCGTACGAGATTCCATCACATGTAACCATTCATCAGATGTAAGACTTAGATTCTGTCGCAAATATATACAAGAAAAAATAAATAGTTTTGAGTGTTCTAAATTAACTGGAATGTGAAGTTTGTTTTATGGCACTGATATCTTCATAATCAGTTTTCAAATTGAGCCAATCAATTACCAAATGCAGTGATGGCAAAATTAATTGCAAACACAAATGTCACAACAGTTGTTTTTCAGATGTGAAAAAGCACAAGTGTCCATACGTCAACTGTAGTGCGGCTATACAGGGCAAAACCAAACATTTAGAACATCTCCGAAAACACAGTGAATCATCCCGTTATCATTGCAAGCAGCTCGGTAGTGGTGAAGAATTCCGTAATCATTCATCAGAATTTTCTTCCCACAAAGAAGTGCATCAACCTAAATTTAAATGCGAAAAGTGTGATTTTTCCTCCAACCACAGCCATTCACTGGCTCGACACAAGAAACGTTACTGCAAAGGTTCTCGTGAGTTTCGCAAATTCAGCAAAATTTTTATCATTTTTAAACAACTGAAATAAATACATATAGAAATATGCTACGAAATATCTCTGATCACATCCTTTGACTCAATGAAGTGATGTCTAAGAAATGTTCATTCTTTGTCCAACGGAAGATCTGCAGTTAGGGCATACTTCGGCAAAACATGAAACGATCACAAAGCTCATTATGTCAACACGATCACTCGGGCAATGTCAGATAACTTTAACAACCATGACAACGTGGATTTAATACTAGTTGCTTCAGATACGGGTACATGTAACAGTAGATGAGGAAATACTCGTGGACACGAGAATAAGTACTAAAACATTATATAATGACATGTTATTTCAATTCCTTCAGTTTATGCTTGACTCAATTCCACAAATTCAGTTGCACTACAGAGAAACCCAAATAAGAAGCTGATCTCTTTGCAGCGGAAAACTCAGAATTACTTACCCCTTATTCGATATTCTTTCATTAGAGGCAACACTGAGAATGAGCTTTTTAGTTTTTTAAAAAAAAAAAGAAAAAACAGGATAAAAAAATGAATAACATCTCGTAATTTTGGTTAGTCGAAATGTGTTTTGATAGGTTTAATAAATGATACTGATATAGTCATTTCTCAAATTATATTCATTAATTAGCATGTAAAATATTATATACTATATCAGTTATAATGTATCAGTTTTCCAGATGGGCAAATGACGATTAAATGTCGTTATTGTAATGCGACTGTGCAGACGAGAAAGGAATATTCAAAACACCTTGAAATGCACAAGGAATATGACATCACTTGTCCCGAATGTGGCAGGACATTCCATTCCCTAGGGAGATTTCGAGAGCATAAAGAAGTGCATCAACCTAAACCCCAATGTGGAATTTGTAACAGGTCCTTTTCTTACACGACTGGACTACGACGGCACCAACGACAATTCCACAGAGGTAGCCGTTAGTTTCGTAAAGTTTATCTTTCGCAAAAGATGTTTTCAGCATATTTGGTGCATGAAAATGTGTTGCAAAACATTTACGACAGTGAAGTGGCAATTCAAAATTAATACATACTGTAATATTTTTCTAACATCGGTAGATGGCTGCTTGTCGTTTGCCGCAGTTGGTGTTTGGCAGTGGCAGAATTCAAGCAATTAGCGTCCTTACAATCCCATGAATTACATGCTCCAACTTATGGAACTCCTAACGGAAGAAGTTCCCTAAGTTGAGGCATACATTGGTAAACAGACAAAACCACCACTGCCGGTCAAAATTCGTTAGGTCAAAACAATCACTCGGGCAATGAGTATTTTTCAGAAAACTTTAGCGTCCTCAACAACTTGGCTTTAGCACTAATTACCTCAGATACGGTTACATATGATAGTAGATAAGGAAATATTAATGGACAGTTATCGGGAACAAGTAACGAAGAATTACATAATGACATATCGTTTTAAGCCCTTCAGTTTATGCATTCACTCAATTGCGTGAAGCTGAGAATACAAGCAGTAATCGAAACTGTTCTTGCTCACATTAAGAAATTCACAACTATCCATTGCGCGAAATTCGTCAGATGTAATCCATCAGACTTTCCATCAGATGTAACAAAAAGACCTAGATTCTGTTGCAAATATGTACAAAATAAGTGAATAGTTTCACGTATTCTAAATTAATTGGGGTGGGAAGTTCGTTTTATAGCCCTAAAATCCTCATGAACAGTTTTCAGACTGAGTCAATTAATTACCAAATAACGTGATAAGAACACTAATTGCAAACACAAATCTCACAACAGTTGTTTTTCAGATGTGAAAAGGCATAAATGTCTAGATATCAGCTGTAATGCGACTATATGGGGTACAATCAAATGTTTAGAACATCCCCAAAAACACGATGAACATTGCAAGCAACCCGGTAATGGAGAAGAATTCCTCAATCAATCACCATTATACAGGCACAAGAAATTCGATCAACGCCAACCTCCTCAGAGTAAAAACTTCCTCAGTATTAAGCAGTCAACGCGAAAACATATGAAATATTCCCGCAGAGCTTCCCAGCGTTGCAAATTTAG